AAAAAAACATGAGGCAACTGAAACTGAGTATCCAAGTGAGTGCCAGTGACAAAGTTGATCCAGATTCGGTTGGCCAGCCTCACACTAAAATAAGCTTGGTCGCCCATAAGCTGATCATCAGATCGTTGATGGACGCTCGAGGATGCACCCACAAATAGTGAACACGGTGGAGCTCCAAAGCATAGGCCGTTCGGGGCCAACCTGCACAAGAAGCAGAAATAAGGTTGCATCATGTTGCATCGATAAAAGATCGTGAACACACAGTAGATTGACTTTCAATGACCATAGAAACACACAGAATATCACAGAATATGGTTTTCAAACAGAATCAATGATTTGGCCAAGGCGCGACAAGAGCATGTCCAAAAGAATGTAAAATCCCATCCTTGTGGTTAAATCATGCTGCCGGCAAAGCTTCACATCAAAGGCTTGGCTTTTGTAGCCGTGCTTTGTCCATTGCTTCCTAGGGCGTTGTGAAGAGCCAATGGGCTCATCGGAATCATTGACATGCGACATATGCACAAAACCTGCCAAGATTCGCTAGGCCTTCCGAGGCACTGAATGCATCCAACAAATGAAGATCGCGAGGTCCAAACCACAAACTAGCCCATGCACTGACTTCCTCCCGGCATTGCTCTGCTCTAAACCACCTGAGTGTTACAGAGTTGCCAGTGCCAGCGCCCACAGATTATGTCATAACTCCTACAGTAACTCATAACTGATGAATATTTCAAGAATTTTTAAGATACTTCCAGAATGTGCCAGATAGTTCTGCGCTAATGTGTGAGCTACATGCAAGCTGGGCACTGCCATTCCGGCACTGTGCACGTGGTGTCTGCCGAAAGAGGTGGAAGACCGGCCTGTGCCCGATATCCTGCCTCCAGGATGAACACCAGCAGCCAAACAAGCGCCCACACGCTATCGTAGGAAACCCGCAATCCACAAGACCACAGGGCGCTGAAACGGAGCGGAGATGACACCTTGATCCGGCAAACCTTCCACAGGATGCACACTTGTGGCGCTGACTTGCCACTTGACTGAATGCCTACCAACATGTGCTACAGATTGCTACAGTATGCCACAGTATACATATATATATATATATAACCCATTTCAAAAGCTCTCTCGGAACCGATGATTGTTTTCACTGATGAGCCTGTGTGGGCCTCAAGCTGTTCAACAGGGATCAACAGAGATTTTTGATGATCATTGATGATCATTGAACAATTAGGGATGTTCAAACTCCTGGGTGGGGCGTACCCCAGGTAGACTGGGGAGGTTAGCTGTGTCAATTACTGCTGCCTTGGAAGGCTACAGGAAACCATGACTCAGCCAAGTCTGCTTCATTTTTTTTTCCCTCCAGCGATGCAAATTTGATGTGGCTGCTGCAGTGGCTGTGGCTCCTTGCACCTCAGATTTCTAGAAAAGAAAAACCACTGCAAAGCCATACACACACTTGGTCAAAAGTGATCCTCGCCACCCTTCCAATGTTCTTTAGTCTTGTGAACCTAGCTATCCCTTGGCTCAAAATGATTTTCTCTGCTCTGGCGCACTTGCTCTTGACTCCCAGACGCAATGATCTGGTTGAACCCCTCAAAAAGGAGATTGGCCACGGGAACATGGAAACAAAACACAGTAGAAGAAGGACAATGACAAAACAATGATTTGTTCAATGACTGATTTATGGTCATGGTGCTGCAAAGCCAATCCTGGATAACCCCAAAACGTGTGGTGGCTTTTCAAGCCATGAGGTGCTTGACCTCTTTGGAAACCTTTGATCCACGTCCTGCCCTGGCAGAGCTGTTCTCTGTGCCCAAGTGCGTGGTCACAACGTCAATGCTTCCCTGCCAAATTGGTAAGTTTCCCCATCCCAAGAGCTCTTGGTTGTGCTTCTCCATGAGGTTCACATCCTCCTCTTCTGTTGACTTCTCTGCCAACTTCAACCTCTCACCGGGCCTTAACTGCAATTGCCAGAAGGAATAATCAAATGACCTTTTGAATGCGAACCAAACAAAATCTAACAGGAACATGAACAGGAACAGGATGCAATTGCAACAAAAATGGAGCACTGGCTTGATAAGCGCAGTTGTGGCACAAGTGCCCTCGGTTCAAGCACACATACCAATCATCACCGTTTTTTGCACTGGGATGTAGAAGCCACCTGCTTTCGTCTTGGCTGTCTCGGTGTCAGTCTCATCCAAAGTCCAAGATGCACTGTCCAATGCAGTGTGGTTGACAACCAGCTTCGGGAAGTTCACTGACAAAGCACTGCTTCCCCGAAGGTGAATCTTGATCTTCTCAGAGTCATCATAGACCAACCTGAGCTGTTCAAATAATTTGATATTCTTGCTGACTCTTGCTGTAGTAGCTGCTAAAACACATAGCATCATTGTCATCAAGATCACAACATCAATTTGGTGCGTGAGCCAGTAAACTACACTGACTGACATGCCTCGCAAATCCAGCCAAAGAGCAAGGGCGCTTCAATGAACTGGATGAAATCAGTGATCAAGTCTGACTCATTCTCCTTCTTGGCGGCTTTCTTTTTGGGCTTCCTCTTTCCCTTTGCTCCTCCCTTGGCCAGCCCCATCGCTTGCGCTGCCATGGCCTCATAAGCTGCTTGGCCACTACAACCATCCTTTTGTCCACTTTGCTCAGTTGAAGCAGCTGGGTCAGTGGAAGCCTGTTTGCCATGTTTGGAAGAACTTCCAATGACTTGACCTGTCTTGACCTTCTTTCCAGCTTTGGTGCCCTTGACAAGTGGAACCATCCATGCCAAACACACCATCTCTGAACCCATCCATGAATCATAGCCGCCAGAGAATATCTGCCATGGCAACGATGCACCACCAGATTCTTTCACACGTGCTACAGGGACTGAGGTTCCGCGACCTTCAAGCCCCACTGATCCATAGAAGTGCAGCTTGAAGTCATTCAGAAAGTTCCATGGCACCAACGCAAACAGCGCACCTCCACCATGGTCACCATCAGTATCATTCTTTGCTACAGGTCCAGTGTCCGTTTTCTGCCTTTTGTTGCTTCGCTGCTCACTCTTCTCAGGGCCAGTCCAAGAGCTTGCAAATCCCAAAACAAAGACTGGCACATCTGTCGTTTTTGATTTCTCAAGCAGTTCCCTTTTGTTCAGGACAGCTGAACTATCCACTTCTGCTGATATGCCAATCCAAGTCTGCTTCTGGTCAAGCACGTTGAACATGATCTGGACATGATCCCATTCACGAGTTTCACTCAACCTCACAATGCCAGCTGATGAAAGGCGGTTACAGCCAACACCAAAGCAATCAAAGAAAAGCAGAAAAGCAATGGCAAACCAGAACCACTGCACATAATTGATCATATGAACTGAACTAAAGTAGCGTGTCACAAGGTTTTTTGCCAAGCCGTGAAGCTGTGCTTGTGCAAATAGTGTATCTTGAACTGCGAGGCGCTCAGACACCAAATCAGCAACCGATTTGTCAGTGAAGTTTGGGTGCTTGAGCATCGACTTGAACTTAGAAAGTTCAAGGACTGAATCGTTTAGCTGAGTGGCTAAGCACTAGCACCTAATTCATCAAATCAACAAATGAATCAGGCAGGCAAGATGCTGGCAAAGGTAGTGGAGAAGCATCGTCCACAGAGATCACTGGCGCAGTCGCAGCAACACTACCAGTACCAGGTTGGGCAGGTTGGCTGGCTGAGGCTGAGGACTGCTGTTCTGAAGAAGAAACGGCCGCCACCTTCGCCTCCTGGGCTGCTTCTTGATGACAACTGATGATAAAAGCTGGAACTAGGTGTGCTACCATCACTACAGCAAATCGATTCAACTTAATTTGCAATGAATGAATGACCAGCGACAGGCGACAGGCAGCCAAGTTGCTGAAAGAATAGTATTCATTACATTGTCGATCTCCTCAACATGCTGCACGTGACACGTGACCAGCATGTGTCATGGAGTCATGTGAGTGTGAGTTACATTTTATGATATTGCTTCATACTTCATCACAAAAAGCGATGAATGTAACCAGACCAGTCCCAACCCAGTCCAGTGTATCCAAGAGTCCTTCTCAAGTTGCACTTTGTCCAATGCACTTGAAGAGTCGGATTTCTTCTGGCCAATCTCAAGGATTCTAGACCAGGTGGAAATGAAAGACATTCTGTCCCTCATACACATATCCACATCAGAGAGCGTTCTGCTCAGCTTCTTCGATTCAGAGATGATATTGACAACAGCAGACAAACCAGGATGGCTAGGAGGCTCATCAAGCTCTTTTCCACCATCCTGAAAACACAATCACAAATGTTTACAAAACAACTAAACAACAACATTCAAATAAGATAAACAAACAGCATCAGCATCAGCCTGCACGCACCAACCAACAAAGACTAGGGAGTGTGTTCCCCAGTGATCAGTGAGTTGACTGGGGAGGGTTCTCCCCAGGAGCATTTGGCGGCTCAGGGAGAAAAAAAAGAATGAAAGGAGTTGCCAACTAAGACTTGAAAGGCTAGGGCTAGGGAGTGCGCTCCCCACATACTTTACCACATGATTCAATTCCAAGAGTCTCCATGAACGAGTTGATACGCTGTTTGTGGGCCATAGCTTGCAAAGGAGAATAATCCCAAAGTTGCCTGTGATCGGAGCTGCTTCAAATCCAAAAGAGTTTCATTCTTTACACCCATAGTGTTCATAATGTCTGGCAGGCTCCATTTTTGCGTGTAATGCTTCACCAAAGCATCGACATACACGCTCACAATCGTAGGCCACTCAGAAAATAGGATTCGCCCTGCTTCATAGCACAAGTCAAGGCTGGTCACGGTTCCACTGTGAACTGCACACTCTGCAGCCGAAAATGTCCTGAGTGACAGAGGCAGTAACTATCAGAACTATCATAACGACTGGAAAGCCTTAGAGTCTTGGAGGCTGGCTCTGTTCCAAACTAAAAAAGGCAACAGCAGCAGTAGTAGTGTGTATCCAAGCCACTTACCATCATCATCAGATTTGCAGCCACAAGTCTGGCTGATGCAAAGCATCATTTTGCGAAGAATCGGTGCTTGTGAAGGATTCCTCATGAGTTTGAAGAATATTTAGATAAACACACAATGAAATTCAATGAAACATCATGAGAGAAAAGCATATACCAACAAGACAAAGTGTCGGGTGCAGTCTCTTCAGCAATTGTGAAAGCGCTGGTCCAAAT